TTGTATGACGATACTTCCATGCCGCCATGACACTTCTTGTATGACGTCACTTCCATGTCGCCATGATACTTCTTGCATGCCAACACCCACTCATCTCTTGCACAACGACAATGCCCACAAGAAGCCGCTGAAGGTGCGCGCCGAACTCGATAAACACTGACTATGTGTTGACCTTGACCCCAGGTGACCTTGACCCCAGGTGACCTTGACACGACCTTGACCCCAGGTGACCTTGGGGTGACCTTGACCCCAGATGACCTTGACCTCAGGTGACCTTGGCCCCCTGGTGACCTTGGGGTGACCTTGACCTCATGTGACCTTGCCACGTCACTTCCTGGTCCAGAACCGGCCTATTATATCTACTTGCAATAATATATAGGGTGTTCCATTTAAAATAAGCAAGTTGATGGCGACTTCCGGTCTAACCGGAAGCGGTACGTGGACGCAATTATTTTAGTTGAGAAGGGCAAGCTCGAAAACCCGGTATCCCAAATTTTCAAAATTCAAATCGAAGTAGTCTCTGAAATAATTCTAATGGACCATCACCGTGAGACACCCTGTATGAATTGTACCAGTTCAGTAGGCTGACATCGTCTACCTATCCATTTAGCAAGTTGTTAAGGATACAGTGAATATACATGTGGGAGTGGGAAAACTTTTTTTCATAGTACCAGAAAATGTCTTCGATGACGGAAACTTAAAAAATATCAAATTTTGAGCACTCGTAATAAATATAAGCAACATCCAAAAATGACTGATTTCCTACATATTTGAAACTGAAGCTATTTCTTTAAAGTATCGAAAATTTTCAAAATTAGTAATGGGTCACATGTGTGACATTATTTAAAGTTATCTATGACCCAAAATTAATCTTCGAGTAGGTACTTATAATAACTGGTTCTTTTTAAAAAAAAATACTTTCAGCTTCAAATATCTGAAAAAGTTGTGGATTTTTGAAAACTCCAAAGTTCCTATTACCAAAAAAATGTTTTAGGAAGTTTTAAACAGAACACTCTGTATGTAACCTTTTACTAACAGCGCACTGACGTTGAGTTTGCTTGAAAATCTCAAAATATTATCAGAACTGAAAGTGGCAGATCTCACCACCGATTATGTCGGAAGACGATACAAATTTAGAAGAAAAAAAAAGAAAGAGTTCATCAGCCATTGCATAGCTGGCTAGAAACGTCCTTTATAGCAGATACTAAATACAGGGATGTCCCCAATTGAACTCCACAGGTATCCATGAGCTTTCACCAAGTTGAAAACCAACTGGGCAAAAATCATTCTTCAATTCACGCTCGGTATCTGAACAGACAACTCGACAGGCTCTTCTTGCCGTGGTCTAGAAGAACGGATCGCGGAGTATTATCGTTGTTTTGACGTTTATAGTGTTGTGCGTGTGACTTACGACTGTTTATAAGAGTGCCTTGGCTTTACCAGCGTTTTTTTTTGAGGTACTGCTCTCGTTTGTTTATTTTGTTGGCGATATTTTTGTGGTGTAACGGTTAGATATTCGAAAATTAGTTTAAGAACGTAGGCGCGAAACATTTTTTTCACTTTAGAATTAAAGGGGAGCAAAGTATCAAGTTGCCTTAGTTCCACAGAAGCAAATTTAAAGTAACCATCCAGTATATTATCCTGGGGGAGAGGGTTCAAAGTGCGGCTCTTTGATTCTAGACATCCTTTAATTTATTCTGACTTATTTCAAATTGGTAATTTTAGATATTTTAGTTATTTGTCCAGGAGAAATGGTGTTTAGATTTTTTTTATTTCGGTGCAGAATAGCAAAAAAAATCAATTCTCAGTAATGAATGATTTACGAAATACATCTTTTTTTATTTCTTGGCAAAAACTGTTTATCATCTTTTTCAACTATTTTGCTTAAGAATCACATTTTTTGTGATAATATTTACCCCAATTTATGTCCAAATCTTTTGAAAACAGAAAGCTGTAACAGTATACAATTGTTTACTTGTTAGTGCATTTTAATCTACAGGGTGTTTGTTAAGTACTCTTACAAACTTTAAAGGGTGAATCTTTGACTAATTTTGAAATAAAAAATTCATATGAACATGGGTCCGCAACGACTTGGTTCATGAGAGACCAAAAATATTTTTTTTTTGGTATTTTAAACATACCTATTCTCCATTCAATTTTACATACAAAAGGTACTATTAGTATTTGTCGCTGAAAGCAGCCGTTTTGTAAAAAAACAGGTTTAAAATTAATCCTGCATTGTTATTTTGTACGTCGAATCATTAAGAGTTTTTGAAAAACAATTGAAAAAGTGCGTCTTTTATTGACTGTATTACGATGTGACAAACTAAGATCATTTACAAGACTAAGACTAAACTACTTCTACAAATAAATTATAAATATTTACAATAATTGCCGAAACAAAAAAATATTTTGGACGCTCTGTATATCAAGAACCAAGCCATTGCGGACCCATGTTAATATGAACTTTTTATCTTAAAATTAGTCAAAGATTCGCCCTTTAAAATGTGTACAAGTACTTAATAAACACCCTGCAATTTGCATAAAACGAGGATCAAGCAAGTGTTACAAATCAATTCTTATATTAGAGTTATTTTATTAATCTTACATGGAAAAAAATACATTTAAAATTTACGTAATTGTAGCCACTGCTGACTATAATTTATATTAAGATAATATTACCACAATCTGTGTCACACATTTACATTACATTTAAAATGTTGTAATTAACTTCGATATAATTTTGTTAAACATATCCACTTTCTATTTTGCTATAGGATCGTTAAACAAATAATAGTACAATTTTACAGATGTTCTACGAAAATTTCTATAACTTCAACACATAATTTTTATTTGAAACAATGATTACATTAATTAAAGTTGTAAAAGCAAAAAACTAGTAGTCAACAAATGGATTTGGAAAAACAACAACAAAAAATAATTACAACTTAGGTTTTTACATATTTTTTCTGGATTACCTTCAGTACAGCTCACATAATAAAAATGTAGATCCCTAGATCTGGACGAGGTAGGGAACATTTTCAAAATTGCAAAAATGTTTTAAAAATTTAAAGAAATACCTATTTTATCTGAGTTTTTTACTTATATCTTGGAACCTATGCATTTTGGAAGAATATTGAAGAGGAAAAAAGTTTTAGAGTTGAAGTTTGCACAACATACTGTATATTAAAGATGTTTTTTATTACCGATGTTGCCAGATATCAATAATTGATGAAAAAAAGGCAAAATAATAATTTGAAAAAAATTTTGACAAAAAAATTTAGAATTTTCAAAATGTTGCACAGCCTCAAATAAAGCATCTGGATACTTGAAAATTTTTTCACATAGAAAAGACCGCTTATTGCTAAATTGTTTATAAATTAACGGAAAATGCCGATAAACTTTCGAAGCGTCTTTCCGAGTACTTTAAAATTATAATTTAAAAAAGAACTAAATTGCAAACTGATAAATGTATTCTAATTGTTTAAAAATAAAAAAAAGATTGTTAACTTTAAAAATTTACTGTGGCCATCGTAATCAACCGATTTAAATTTTTCAAAAAAAAAAAATCTTTTTCATTTACATAAAAACTTAAAAATGTTTTAGTAAGTATTTTCTTAATATACACTACTATCTATTGCAATCACAGAGGTAGATATAAATTAAACAATTCAATAGAATAATATTACTTTACTTAACCTTAACCTAACTTATAAAACCAATATTTCTCGTGGACGTTAAACGAAAATACTTTTCATACATAATTTTTCATTTGCAAATAGAGTTTAGTATTAAAAATTACTCCCATATTCCAAATTCTAATGTAATTAGTCTAGTTTACTTTTTTTAATTTTAGTATTTTGTGTAGGTAAAATTTCCCGTTGTCTAAAAAACTGGGAATAAATTGAATGATTTGTTTCAAATTATATATTCATGTCTCAAATTTGATACCAATCACTCTTAATTTTCCAATGACTTAACTAGTCAAAAGATATAAAAGTAATTTGTGAAAAACTTCCCCTAACACAACTTCCTAATATAAGGAAATAACATTTTGCCCAAACGGAAATGATTATTTTCAAAAAAATTGCTCTTTAGTCAAAGTAAACTGTTTTAGTCCGGTCAAATTAGTCATAAAAATAGTGGTCAAATAATGAAAATTCCGACAGAGCTAAATTTTGGTGGAGACCTTGGGTGTACCATTAGAAATAAAGTGTCAAAAGTCCCCGTCGAAAACTTTTGTAAAAAATACACGAAACAAGAAACAAGTACAACTATCTCCTCTTCCTCTAACATCGGCTTTTGCTAATTAACACTTGTATCGAGTATACTATCAAGTTCAGACATGCCTAGGCAATCAACTGAACCCAGAAGACTGGAGTTGGAAATTAACAGTTAATACTTTGGAACCGATTCAAACTTTACTCGCACCTGCTCTGGAAAACTCCTAAACACTATTTTTTGCAATTTGAAAAAAGGTTATAGTGCTAAATGTGGCTGTAGAAGAGTAGGGTTACTGTGTTCTCCAGCGTGTACTAATTGCCAAAGCCAGTTTTGCTCAAATGTCCAATTGAATACAACAGATGAAGATTTATGTGATTTCGATGAAGAGACAGCTGATTCATCTTCATTTGAACAATTTATGAACATCCAGCAAGAAGAAGATGAAATCGAAGAAGACATGACTGTTGAAGTCGACTTTGATGAGTATAAATCAGATTACAATATCAAAAGAAATCAGAACTACAGTTAAAGTCAATAACCAATATCAATAATCATCATGCAGTTAAAAGAGTATTGTCCCTGAAAATTCCCTCATAACAGTTCGTGGAGTAGGCCTACCAGGGAAATCACGTAAAAAAAAAACGCGCCAAAGTACACTACCTCACAGGTGGTGTGGAAATGTCTGCATATCATGTAGAACGTGACTCCTTCAACTATTAGCATCGCGATATCCCAGGAATGGTGATTCTTAGAAAAAAAAGTATAAGGACTATTTTTGTAGATAATTTTAAGATCTATAGTTTTTGTCGGAACTACTTTTTTGATAAAACTTACGGTTTTCGAAAAAAATCCAAAAAATCTCAAATTTCGACCTTTGATTCCGAATAACTTTTTTAGCACACATGGGATCGCTGGGGACACTTTATTTCTAATGGTGTACCCAAGGTATCCGCCAAAATTTAGCTCTGTCGGAATTTTCGTTATTTGAAATGTCTATTTTAACCGGACTATTTGGCAAAATGCAGAATTTCAACTCAAAAACTCTCGATAAAATAATTGTTTTGATTTTTCGTTTCTTTGTCAATACAAAAACTTCACACTCTATTTTATTGTTAAATCCAAACCAAATTTAAAAAGTCGTAGGTACCTATATTGTCGTGAGCAGAATTGAAAAAGCTTTAAAATGAGGTGTCACTCAACATAGGGTGTTATTTAAAGTTTAAGGGTAGGTATTTTACACTCCTGCCTGAGGGGTAGCTTCCAAGGCACCAAAACTTACTCCATCACGTGTCCCGAAAATTGTGTCTCAGTTTTTTGTTTTTTTTTTAATTCCGATATTTTCCAGGTGGGAAGTTTTAATTGAAACACTCTGTATAGTTCACGTAGTTTCAAAGTTAAGTCGCAAAGTATGCCTTCTTCATATTCACCGTCACAAAGTAACAGTATCGGTACATTGTACTATTATTTGAAGACATCTACTGTTACTTTAAATTCTCCCAATATTTTATGAAAATTCTTGCAGCAAACTATCCTTCTCAGCATCAAATTAAAAAAATAATCCAAATTACTTTAAACAGCTTAACAGAGGCGACCTCGCATTCTTATGCGAGTGTTTGAAATTATTTGAGCATTATAACAGCCAAACGAAAATATTAATTTTATAACAGGGTTCGGTTACATTGGAACTCGGCATCAAGGATAAGTTGGCTGGCTAACTAAAAGCATAATAAACACACATTAAATTTAATATTTCACGAGAATTAAGTGTGACTTTCTATCGCCGTAACTTACGTTTCATAGAGATTTATTTTTAAATTACCTGAACTGTAAATAATAAACATTTAAAAGTCTCTAAATTGGAATATGGATATTACATGAGCATACCGTAAGTGCCTGTACGAAGAAAAAGTTAATACATTCAACAATGTACGACACTAGAGAGGTTATTAACGACTTTTGATTTTCACTTGTATTTTTTCTCGGTGCGGTCACTTTCACTGGCCACTCTTCTGCTTCTCCACGTTGGTAATTCATGTTTAATCATATCCGAACAGATTTAAACGGTAGACAGCCTGTTGGCTGCTTAATAAATGCAACGATATCACTTATTGCTTAGGGAAATTACCAGCGGAAGAGGCTTGTGTGTTAAGTGTCGAGAAACGATGGTACAGGCGGAAAGCGTTGATGAAATTGGTGATAGAAACGATGTTTATTTATGCTATTATAATTTTTTTCACTTGACCTTAAGAGAAAGTAAACGTTTTTTTTATTTGTTTGGAAGCAAAAGTAGCTAGAATCATCTCTTCCGTAAGAAAATTAAAAATGGATTTCACAATTTCTTAGTTTTTTTTGCAAAAAATTTGCAATAATTGAAATATATACGGGGGTAGTTTGAAACAAGCTTACGATAATTTAATGGTCTGTAATCGCACTTCCAGACAACACGGATTTGAAAACTTATGTAAAAATGAATAATGTTCAACTATTGAATGCAATTTTTGAAATTACCTTGGCTAACATTTTTTATTAACGTTTAACTGTTGTTCTAACAATTCATACAAAATTATTACTTTATTTTATGGGGAATTTAATTCTAAAACTTTTCTTACTCATGTTAGTTTTCAAAAAACTTTGTCGTTTTCAACAAAAACACGAATAACTAATAATACTTATTGTAGCTGTGTTATTTAAAAAATCATAGAAAATTCAAAAGTTATGAATTTAAACATCAAACTACAATACGTATTATTAGTTATTCGTGTTTTTGTTGAAAACGACAAAATTTTTTGAAAACTAACAAGAGTAAGAAAAGTATTTAGAATTAAATTCCCCATAAAATAAATATTTACATTACATTACGTTTTATTAATTATTATGATTGAATATTTATAGTAATTGTACAGTTATTACATTTACAATTAGTAACATTTATAAAATCTGGATAAATTATTCCCCTCGCGTTTACTAACTACCACATTTTTCTCAAAATGATTGATCCATTAAAACAGCCATGATGCGACGTACTACTGGAACCTAGAGTTGAAGTGTCATTGTAAAGAATCCTGTTGGCTATTTCATTTTTGTTACTTAAACTGTCAGCAATATAACTTTCTGCAATTGTGGCTGATTTCCACCCACCATGTCTCTTGAATGCTAATACATCAACTCCGGTATTAGCCAGTAACGTTGCCAATGTTCTTCAGAATGAATGGCCTGTATATGTTTCAGGATGTTCTAGTTTCAAAAACTGTACAATCTTATTAGGAATCATAGAAAAGGTATTTTGCCGACTGGCTGGTTGTAACATATACCTGCTTGATACCGCATATAAAAGAGTGAAATTTCAGTTTTAATTTCCAATCTAATCTTGAAAATATCCCTTGACAATTTCTAGAATTTTTAGAATCTGGAATTGTAACTACAATAGTGTCATCGAATTTTTTTAAATTGATGTTGTCCAAAGTAAGTTTGCATAACTCATCAGAACGGCATGCTCCTGCAATGCCTAAGACCGTCACTACCTTCATTAGCAAATATGTATTATCGTGTACCTGAACGAGAAAATCGTTTCGACTTCTCGGGCAATAAAAATTCGCAGGCAACATTTGTTGCACTTTCTATTTGAAAATCGCTCATTTGGAAATAATAATTCAAAATCAGCAAAATTGCAAATTTTATGTAGATAAAATATTATACAGCACGCAGCAGTTGAGTATAATTTACCAGTCTCGGACTCTATTACCAGCCCTCGCTCTGCTCGGGCGCAAAATCGTCCTCGACTGGTAAATAGTATTTACCTTCTTTATAGTGTAAATAACTATTGTTTATTCAATTTGAACATATTTTTTTCACTGGTACAATATGGATAAATTTAAATCCAGACAGTGTTAATAAGTTTTAAAAATTGGTCTAAACCTTGTTTGCCATCATTTGAAAAGTTCATTGTTCAAGATTTTGTATTTTATACAGTGTGTTTCAGCAGCTCTTACATTTTAGAAACTTTCGAATTTTATTTTTCAACTCGCTATGCCATACACAATTTTTGTTTCTACCGCAATTTCATGGCCTACTGTGCTCAAAAAATGTTAACACAACAAATCCTGTTTGACATTTTATTACATTAGAATCGGAACCAAAAAACTGTCGATATTTTATCTAGTTTCTATAATTTCCTACCCATAGCACACTGAAATCTGACCGATACGTATTTCTACTTCAAATAAACTAGTTTACTACATTTTCAACCAATTTTAACAATGTTTCGAATACAAAAAGGATACTTTTCGACCTAGAATGAAAAATAATTATAACTTGCTTAATATCTGTAAAATAAAACATAAAGTCTGTTAATTATCAAAGTCTGCAGCCGTTACACCACAAAACTAGGAAGTATATCGCAAATTAAGTAACGTCTAAACAAACCCAAACCTCATTGTCTACATCTTGCGAATCTTTCACTAGGACGCCACAATTATGTGAAGCGAATAAGGAGAGCACGTATCGAACAGCTCACTTACATAATTGATTCACAGAAGAGAATCTAGGGCGGCCGCGACATAATTTCTACGCCTCATCAGGTCCGCCATGGAAAGCGACAAGCAAGCGAAGAGCGATGAGCGCCTCGAGAAGGCCAACGAAGACGTCCAGGTGGACAAGGAACGCAGGAGCGCCTCCACCTTCGACAAAGTCCACCTGAACACCCTGTCCACAAAGCTGTCCACGGACCGGCTGATCTGCAAGACCCCCCAGGAGTCGCCTAGCGTATCGGTGAAGTCCCTGAAGACGAGGAAGAGGAGGGAAGGGGATAACCAGAGGATTATCCTGTTCCTAGGGGTGCTACAGTTCGTCCTGGGGTTCTTGATGGTGGCGTTCGGCATCCTGGTTATAGTGCACAGGTCGACTTTAAGCCAGGTAAATATTTTTAATTGAAATTATATTTATATACAGTGTGTTTCCGGATGGGGTACCGCACTCTTGTAAACTTTTTTATTGTAGATTTTTCGAGAAAAAGTTATTCTTGATAAAAAGTTTCGTTTACCTTAGGAAGCCATGGACAGTAATCAAATATGTAAAAAAACATACAGGGCGTCCAAACGGAAATAAAAATTAAAAGCACTTTGCTCAGTAGTCAACTGAAAAGTTATATTTGGGGTTGCAAAAGTCAGAGCACGCAATTTTATTTTTTGGATGTCAAGAAGGGGTTAGTGTAAAGTTAAATTTATGTTTGTGGGGTCGGAACCCTTGTGCTTCGGCCGCCATCTTGTAAAAAGGGCTGCGAATGGTTTTTATACAACTACAAAATTTTTTTTCTGGTTATTTAATTAATTAATTTAAAAAATTACATCAGAGCATTTTGATAGAGGGGTTTTTAAGGAATAATTTCCATTACAAACTTTTTCAAATTTTATTTATTTATTAGGGTTTTACAGCGTACAGTACATTTACAGTACAGTATTTTTTTTTGTAAAATGACCAGAAAAAATGTTATAACGACCAAAAGAAAATTTGTTCCCGAATTTTTATCTATTTTCAGATAATTTAATTTGCAATAAAAAATGTATTTACAAATTTTCTGTGCAACGAATAGTTTGCTCGATATAGTAAGTAGTAGTATAGTATAAAAACCATTCCCAGCCCTTTTTACAAGAAGGCGCCCGATGCACAAGGGTTGCAACCCCACAAACATGGATTTAACTTACACTAACCCCCTCTTGACATCTAAAAAATAAAATTGCGAGCTCTGACTTTTGCACGCTGAGCCCAAAAAAATTTAACATTTCAATGGACTACAGGGAAAATTTCACATTTTGAAATTTTTCGACCTATCCACATCAAAAAATTAAAACATTACAATTTTTCGTTTACGGAATGTTATTTTAATGATTGGAATTACTATACAATAAAAGTTTTTCAACATTTCTTATCAAATAATACAAAAAAATTAATGATTATACAATTCAACAAATTGTAATTTTGTTAAAACAATTATATGTCGTTTCTTTTTAGATTTTTACCATTTTTAGTGTAACATAAACGGTTTAGCGTTAGAAAGTACCAAAGAATGAATTATAAGCGAATATAGTCGATAAAAAAGAAACATCAAGTAAATATGCGATGTTAATGTTAATTAAATAAAGTGAAATCTTGGAGTACCTACACAACAAATTGTGCTTTTATACGAATACTATACAGCCTTCTCAATAAACTTTCTGTTTAAAGACATACATAGAAATTTCATTATGTATATATACAGGGTGTCTCAGGTTTTAATGCGGAAAATTTAATAGACAATTAAAATCATAAAAATTATAAGAAAATTTTATATGAACTTATATGTTTTCGAGATACAGATGTTAAAGTTAATTGAAAAAAATAGTCTCCTCAAATATTTCAACTACTTGGCGGATTTTGTTAAAACTTGGCACGTTTTTAGTGCTTATTTTATTGAAATTAGATTTAATTTAATTGTATGAAGAGCTGTTTTCAAAAAAATATTGTTTCATATAGTTGTGAGGGCAATTTTGTGTTCTCTAATGGTTATTTCACTCGCTGGCAGTTGTAAAAACTTTTAATTCTTGAATACAAAAACGACACTTCGCAATCTAGAATAAAAAATAACGATTTCGTTATGAATCTATTGGAAAAACTACTTACAAGACATTAGTTTTTAAAAATGTTTCAGTATATTCACATGTAGTTTAGATATCTATTAAGTAAAAACTTTAACACAATCCTGTCAGTTCCTGCGCGATTACGGTTTTTAAACACAGATTAGAACAGCAACGTTGCTAATTTCCTGCGCTCTATTTTATCTTAATTACCAAATACAAACATGATATCACAACGGAAATAATTTAAGAGTACAAGCAGATGTAAATTATCAGTTCTTATATTGTTAATAAAGCATACCTAAGTATTGTGTAAACAAAAGGTTTAATTCTCAGAAATCAGTGTTATTATGTCGCAAACAAAATATTAACCATTCCTAAGATAAGATATTGAATGTCTAGGTGTTTTTTTTTTTTGTTCTACAAAAAATACAGGCAAATTCTACATCCAAAGTAGCAAATAATATTAGCATGTCTGCAATAATAAAGAAAAAACTATTTTATTTTACGTTTTACGGAAAAAAAGCACACTGGATAAAAAGTTTTGCTTAGAAAATTAAAAAATATGAAAATGGAAAAATAAACTACCTTTCGAAAAAAGTCATTAGGGAAAATTGTTGGGAATTAAAAGCTAAGAAAGAATTGAAAATTGGTACTTTTATCAAAAAATGTGTCGACGGATATGCTTGATATGAAGAAAATCTCTATTTCTCCGTTACGGAAAAGAAATATTATACATATAGAAAATTTTGCATGTGATTTAAAATAATTAGTGTTTTATCCTTGGCGGTATTTCACATTAGTTCAAATAATTGTAACGAAACTGGCATTTTATTCTTCATTGTTGTGTCGCTATACCGCATTTAAAAAACCCAACAGTAATTATCGTAAAAATCTAATACAAATTAATCCAAATTTATTACGCTCTCTAAAGAATTAAACCAGTTTTGGTTTATTTTTTTCTAAGTACCAATTTTTCGAAAAACTTAAAGTAATGTTAGTTTTTCTTTATATTCGCTTTCCCTGGACATACTATGGAAGCAAATTTAAAAAAATTAAATAATACCCACTCATACAAACGCCTTAATAAACATGTTACTAAATCTAACCATTCATTATTCTACTAAAATTAATACCCATTTTACATTTTCTGCCATATATTCGTATATAATATTAGACTGAGGCTGCAATTGATTGTCTGACATTAAAGTAATATCTAAGTAAAAGTAGACGTCGACATTCTTAGGACTATTTGACCTATCACGAACATCATTTAAATTATAGAGCAAATGTGTAGGGCTTATAACTTGTACCGAGTCTTGTAGGTATTATTATTATAATTGTCATCGGTGATACTGGCTTTTACCAACGTTTTAGTAGAACAGAGGTTAGATATCACCACTCTTTGTATCTTTGTACCATTCTTATTTTAAGATATTTTTAATAAATAGTATATTGTGTGCCTCGTAGTAAAAGCAATACATTCCCGGACAACAATGCGAATTGAGTGTGCTTTTAATTTTGCCAAATGCGAATAAATTGTTTCCATCGATCCTCAGCAACCATCAAACGTTGCCGAAGAATACAGGGTGGTCCAGATTTTAATAGACAAACTTCGGGAAAGAACTAAACAACAAAAATTAACATCACTTTGCTCTATGAACATAGGAGCAGAAAGCCACCGTTTATGAGATACAGGGCGTTGAAATTGACGAAAATAAAACATTTTCTTTAAATATCTGGAAAAACGCTTCATCAAATTTATCCAAATTTGGTACACATTTTTTTTCAAATATTTTTCCTAGTTCTGTATGTACACAGTCCAAATTCAGAAACCAGTGGCGGAGAAACAAGGATATCGTTTCCTTATTTAAAGTAAAACTTCTAAATGTCGACTTTTGATGACAGTTTTCGAAAAAATATATTTAATGCCTATTTGACTGAAACATTTTTACATCCCGTATACAAACACACCTCATTTTATGCACAAATTATTCAAATGGCACTCTGTGGTTGTAAATATCTGTAAATATTTATAAAACAACGATGACAATGAGTATGAAGTAACGTTTATTTAATATACGAACATATACAAGGACATATTAACACTAAGAACGTTTTGTTTTCATCTTCCTCCTAAGAAATGTTGACACCTTAAGGTCACATACCTGGCGTGTATGTGTGTATGACTTCACATACCTTCACGTAAGAAAAAATTACACAATCACATTCGTGACCATTTTTTTCCTCGCAGATTATTCGGTAGCAGTTATCTTGGTATCTAAATCCTAAATGTTGGAGATACGTATTTTTTTGTAACGAGTAACAAGCAATTAGAGAAATATGTGGTGACGCAATGAATTTACTCCAGTTTGTAAAACACGGTTTTTAAATTTGAATAACACAACTGATAAGTTTATGCTACTGTTTATTATATCACAAAATGTGAAATATTGATTATTTACAGTTTTTAGATACTTGTAGAAAGCTAAGTGTCAGTTCTTATACAATTTTATTTGTAAATAATAGAAATGTCTATAAATTAATAGGGAAGTTGCATATTTCAAAGAATAGCAGTCATAAAATTCGTGGTTTAGTCTGTTGTATTTTAAATTAACTGTGTTTACTTTTAAATATTGTTTTCAAATAGTTACATGATCAATATTATAAGCTTTGTTCAAGCTCTAAAACTGAAACAAAATGTCCGGGGTCAAACTATCAAGTATTGCATAGTACCTACAGTTCAAAAGGTGAACCATATTTTATTTATTTCAAATTATATAAGTTACTCATAATCACGATAAAAGAAGAAGCGTATAAAAACAAGGAACTGGAAAAAACTTCCCGGGATTGCCAAATTGGGATAAATACCTAGACGACAAGTATTACATAATTTTGCATAATTATTTCAAATTATCTCATTAGCAGTTTGAATAAGTTGTTTACTTGATTTTAAATTCGATTTTTTGCCGTTATTTTGCGTTAAATAACATGAATTTTATATTAAATAACATTCCAATTAACTAGAAATTATTAAGAAATCATTGGAAATCCGCAAGAAATTAGTTTATACGGAGTGTACACTCAATTGTTGTCGTTAACAACAAATATTATGTTGCTAAAACTTTTTTTTGTTTTAGCTTGGCGGGGGAATATGGGGAGGGTGCCTGGCCATGTCAACTGGCGTAGCAGGGATCCTGACGGCGGCAGGAAGCTTCTGCCCCTTGAAGGAAACGCCGCAGAAGGTCGCATATACTGTTTTCCTAGCCCTAAGCCTCATTAGCTTGGCCATATCACAACTGATAGTCGTGATAGCTGCTATAGGTTTAGCCAGGGATTTGAACAGCGCAGAGAGCGAATTGGAAAAAGTAGAACACAAGGTAAGCAGTTATTAAAAAAAAAGAACAGTTTAAGATCAAAACAAAAGGCCGTAAATGTTAAATAGAAAAAAACAGCATTGTTGATTTTTAGGTCAAGCATAATGAGAGTTATAATATGGACCAGTTTTTTAACTTGTTTTTATTAAAAAATATACAGGGTGATTCAGTCATAATGTCATTAATTTTAAGAGCAGATAGAGAAAAATGAGTATAATACGATGGCGTGATTAAAAAAAAATTTATATGCATATTTAAGCTGAAAAAAAATATTTTCAAATCATTATTTAACCCCCTTTTCAGGCTGTTACTGACCGGCTGACGTCACAATATTATGCACGGCTACGATATGAACCTATGAACAACGCGCCCTAGATGCAACGTTGCCATATTTATATATTTTCGCTCATATCAAGACAATAAATAAACGGTTTTGCTCACGTCAACCAATAATAATTTAAAATGCTATAAATTATTTTTTATTTATGCAATCAACATATTAAATTGTTATTGTTGCCCAGCAAAAACCTCGAGGTCTGAGCATGCCTTGCCAAAAATCAGTTTTTATTAGCATCATAATTTTAATATTTTAACAACATTTGCTGTAAGCCCGAAGGGGAAGGTTTTCAAACAATTCTACTAAAAATTAGTAACGCGGCCCATTCAGATGTTCAGGTAGAAAATGCGGCCCAATTAAACGATCGCCATTGACATTGACACCGAATCTCCTCTGAAAGCTATACCACCCAGAGTAGTGTGCGGGTAGTAGTGTGTTTCATCTGACCAAATGTGACTATTATGGCTGCAAAGAAATTAGCTGTTTCACTTTAAATAAGATTTAATATTGAAGTTACAAAACCCCAAAAGTTCAAATAATTTAAATTTCATTTCATAACCATTTCAATTTCGTTACAGAAATAATGTCATAAAAAACCAACACTCACTAGATAAATTATAAAGAGAGGATAAATTGTATGCAGTATTTAAATATTGACTGCAATTAGAAGAGAGACTTGTATATTCCATAAAAAAACAATGGGACGGAGACAAATAAACAACTCGGTACGTCGTGTTTCCGACCTAGGGTAACCTGTGGTTCAGTAACCTTTTAACCCAGTTTTAATTTGCACACGTGCACCATATAGTCCAGGAGCCCGATGTGCAAACAACTTATTCTTAAATATTTGACCTCTTGAATCCAAAGAAACTTGGTCGCAAAGCCTGAAAGTGGTCAGTTTAAATGTTATCAACAAATTAAATGTTTAAATGGCTGTAAAAAGTTTATTTTTATAGCTAGTACAATTTATTCGCTAATAGTTACGTTTTCTCATAACAAATATGTATTTTTTTGGAAATTAAAAAAAAATAACTTTAACCAGTTATTACAAATTTAGTGCAAATTTCTTACATTTTCCGTCTCCGTGCGCACTAATTTTACCATATCTGGTTCTAAGTTCCATTTATTTATTAATTTATTTAATAATTAATGGCATCTTAGAAAGTTGTGAAATTTCAACGAAAATGCCGTTTTTAATTGTTTATAAGGTTTTTTTTATTATTCAACTTCGACGAAAAGCCAAAAAAGTTACCGGATATTGTTCTTTGCATTCTAACAATCAAGCAAGGCATGAAATCATTGTTAGTATGCGAGGAACAATAACCGGTAACTTTTTTGGCTTTTCATAAAAATTGAATAACAAAAAAAGTTTTATAAACCAATAAAGCCAACATTTTCGTTGAAATTCCACAACTTTCTAAGCTGCCATTAATTTTTAAATAAATTAATTAATCAATGGAACTTACCTATCTTGTAAAATAAAGTTTAAGTTTTAAAATGAGATGTGCGTCTCAATCCGTCCAATTGAACCAGAGATATGGCAAAATTGGTGCGCGCAGAGACGGAAAATGTAATATATTTGCACTAAATTTGCAATAACTTTGGTTAAAGTTAATCTTTTTTTAATTTTCAAAAAAATATATGTTTGTTGTGAGAAAACGTAATAATTAACAGATAAAAAATTGTACTATCTATAAAAATAAACTTTTTACAGCCATTTAAACATTCAATTTGTTAACAACAATTAAACTGACCACTTTCAGGCTTTCCCACCAAGTTTTTTGGTTTCGAGAAGTCAAAATACTTAAAAATAAGTTATTTGCAGCCGTGGAATTCTGTTTGGCTACGGAAACCTATCTGGCCCCTAGCCCCTAGACTAATACGAGTGTAGTAGCAAAAAGTTGTCGGTCTTTTATCAAAGGAAAATCGTATCAACAAATTTAATTTAAAATCTAAAATACCGGCTGTTTTCGTAGTAGCTGTAGTCGCCCAGGTGCATCGAGTGTACGAAGTGGTCGGTTATATGTCAAATACTAACCTGGCGAGCTTGAACCTGAACTTGGCAACGCTGTTCCTTTAGCCGACAACTGTTCGTGACATTACGTTACAAAATTTTCCGGGCATCCGGGCATCGGCAGGGCAGCCCTCGTAGCGGGAGTTATGGGTTGATTTCCTTCATTTTTAAAAGTCGAGTAAAAATTTTTTTTTTCCGATTTTCTGTCTTTATTAAGCTTTCCGACTACGTGGTTAAAATTAATGACATTATGACTGAATCACCCTGTATATATGATATACATATAAATATTTTGGGATATTTTTTTAATCGTGTCTACTATCTCAGTTATTTCATAGATTATCTGATTAATATTGGAATGTGTCCAATTTATAGTAAGTACACTCCCTAGAATAATTTTACCTTCAAATGAATTTAAAACGCATTAAGAGAAATACTTTTGTTACGTTAAAAAAGTGTGACGGCCAATCCACAATGCTTACCGCGGTCCAGGGGCGTACGCGTTGGATTGCAAACAAAACTAATGTACTTTGTAACTTGTTTTGTTACATTATTTTGAGGGAAATTAACATAGAAAACAATAACTTTTGTGGTAAAGGGGCAGTGTATTATTATTCTGTATCATTTTGAAGCATAGATTCAGTTAGTAAATTGTAACTACTTTTTAATGTTAAAAATTTGCTTTGGTGTTAAGGCTAGGTACTAATAATAATAATAATGTGTGATCCTAGCGTTCATGATTGAGGAAACAATTTATTATAAAATTGTTTATGAATTAATTATATGTCCTTGTTAATAATTTATTAGTAGGCAGTAAATTGTATATTTTTTAAAACCTCACACCTTATATTGTTCTTTCTGCTGTAATAGATTATGTTAATTCTTTTGTTAGTATGTAGAGGTGCCCAAAGAAATATTGAAAATGGTTTCTTTATTTAACATAAATTTGAATAACAGCAAAAATGAAACACCTAGTATTAAATGTTTTAATTTGTTGGTATGCCATAATTTAGTGTTACCTATGCTCGTTAGGTACCAAAAATCCACTTGATGTCGAGTTCCTGAAAAAAGTTACTAGCATATTCGGAGAACCTTGCATCTGTCAAATTTTTTCTTTAAAAATTAATATCTCAAAATCTATTACTCCTAGGTACAGGGAATATTTAATAAAGTGACCCTTAAATTTCACGTAGAATCCGAAAATGCAATAATACAGGGTGTTAATGAACTTATGTCATAATTTGAAAATATTTTATGAATTTTTACTTTAATTTTACATTTAAATCGTAATTAAATAGCTAACAAAATATTGAAAAAAACAAGTTTACTTTGCCTTAATATGTAAAAAAAATTTGTTTTTAAATGAACGATAGTTTCATTCATTTATTTAACAATAGTAAAATAATTCCGAAATTGAAATTTTAATTAATATTTCGTTTAACAATAATTTTTGTGACATTTTTGTAAATTAATAAAAATTAAGTATAAAAGGTGCATTTTTTCTGGGGTTTAGGGCTGTTCTACGAATCCGTAAATATGCCCATTGTTATTTTTTCGTCGAGCTACCCAGTTAGAAAAAAAATAGTTTCTACGATGAATACAAACCGAGATATTGCAAAATTTACAGCGCGCATCAATTTGAACTTTGGAATTAACTTTGCGCGACTCGCTTGGACGAGCTTCCCCTACCACCACGCCGCCGGACAGTTTACTTTGAGAGTATCTTCTCTTTAAAGGGCTCGTGAGTCGTTAATTTTCCACATTTTTCAATGCAATTCACGGGAAATCGTAGTTTACGTCGTAAACTTTATTTTGCGAAAAATGCAAGTCTTAATATTTATAAACAACTGCCCTACGATTTAAAAAAAATTCTTGTCTTGGCTCCTGTTGGTCGTAGAGGGTTTTATTAAAAAAAAAAAATTGTATTTTTTTGCCAGCTATCCATTATATCTATTTTCGGTGAGGTAGCATAAATAGCAAATTGTTTATAAGCGAAAAACGCACGTTTTTTTAATTATATATATAATTACGTCTTTAAGATTACAATGACGCTTTCAGAATCATGTTTGGTTGAAAATTAACGCCTGTACAGAGGCTTAAAGTTCATAACTTTTGGAGCCTCCGTTATGAACAAATAGAATTGTGCGAAAACTATTGCACCTACAGCGCCCACTTTTGGCACACTTTGAAAGTATGACAAAACCCTCAACTTGTCATAGGTTTTATAAAATTTTAACAATAAATGCGATAGTTATTATAAACAAATTAAAAATGGGCACTTTTCTTGTTTTTTTGCAATAACTTTTTTGTTTATTAACCGATTTTAATTTAACAGGTCTCATTTTGTAGATAATTTTACTCCCTACAAGCTGTTTGGGAGTCACTTGTCGCTAAAATTGATGGTTGTCCCTGCAAAGTGAAAAAATTATTTTCCTCACTTATTTATTTAAATAGAAAAGTTAGCTAATAAAAGTTTTTGACTCACGAGACGAGAGATGTCTTGTATTATGTTCCTTAAGACAATTTTACAATAATCTAGCGGATAGGACTTTTTTCGAGTTTTTCTTTTATTTTCGCTAATTTTCCTGGTGTAAAAACAATTTTCACATATCCTCACAAAAAAAAAAGTCTAGCGGAGGCCAAGTCATGCAGTAACCACATATTTTGTCGGACATTTAATGGCACGTCTTCCAATAACTCCGGCAAGCAATTTTAACTCCTCAGTTAACTCAGTTTTTGCTACTTTTTCACTCCTTTAAATTTCTGACATAAGTTCATTAACATCCTGTATATAGGGTGTCTCAGTTAAAATAAGAAAGTTAATGTCGACTTCCAGTATAACCGGAAGTGCCATAAAGTTCTAAATATTTTAGCTGTGTTGGTCCTACTGCCTTTGCTAAGCTAAAAAGAATGATTAGGACTATTTTTAAACTTGGCCCAAGAGAGTCATGTAAAGAGTACTTCATATCGAAAAGACTATTAACGGTACCATCAATATATATTTTTGCAGTACTTAAGTACGTGAAGCTAAATTTATGTAATTATCAAATAAATGGCGCGTCCCATAGTCATCAAACAAGATATCGTAATCTACTCAGAGTTCCAGCGCATAAGTCAGCTCTATATGAGAAATCTCCATATTGTGTAGGGGTGTACCTGTACAATAAATTGCCTGATTGTATTGGAAATATCCAGTCCTATACCATGTACGAACTTAAGAAGTACCTTGTTGAGAAATGTCTATACAGCATAGAGGAATTTTAACAGTGTACCTTTAAATTAAATTATTTATTCTAAATGCCCATTTTTTATGTTATATTGTGTACGAAATTGACATGTATTGACATTATAAATGTTTCGTATATTCAATGTAGTATCGGTTTAAATACTTTTGGCTCTTGTATTATTGTGCCATGTTTTTATATTATTGTGTGTAGGTGTGTTTGTTGGTGTGTGTATTTGCTTTCATGTTTTTTTTATGAGTTATGTACTTGTAATATAAGCACCTATTTGACGTTCACATCAATTGTAAAATTGCTAAGTGACTATTAATAAATAAATAAATAAATAAATAAATAAATAAATAAATAAATAAATAAATAAATAAATAAATAGGAATATTTCAAATTCACTTTATTTCTTTTATTAAGAATAAATTGTTAAATACTAGGTATGTCTAATTCAACATTTGTAAAATAAAAACTAAACACGGGGATAAATAACCATTCAATTTAAAGCAGCCAAATGATCTCCAAGACACTTCTCTAAGTTTTCTCTGGACCATTAAGGTGTATTTATAATCCTGCTGTAATTACTGCGATCGCCGTTTCCTGCAATACCATCTTCCCACGATTAAATAATAAAATTACGTACCCCAACTAAGCAATTACTTTTTTCTACATCCACATTCTGACCTTGTTTTAAACCTGACAAAATAACATACCAGCCTTTCGAATTCACAAAAAAAAAGCGCATACATTTATCATAAGGTGGGGTCGTAGTTCTGATTACATTGTGACTGACATATTACTTTTTTATGCATGTTTGGTGGCAATTTATTTGTTTATTGTACCTGCACATATGATAAAAAAGTGTGTCTAATAAATTGTGTAGTTGGGTGTACCTCAAGGATCAATCCCGGGGCTAATTTAGTTTGCTAAGACTATAGTTACAGTTTGCATGTTTGAATGGTTTGCGGTCGTGTATCGAATATGCTTCAACCGACATATTTGTTCCAGGACGCTCACTCGAGTTTCATAACCTTCGACGTCCCCAAAAACTACATGGGCCTTCTCTTCAACATAGCCCTGATCATAGCCTCCAGCTTGGAATGTATCTGCGCCGCCTTGGCTTCCTACAAGTCCTCAAGAGACCTCTGTCCTTGCTTCAAGAGGAACGAGGAAAACTACAAGGATAATATAAATATCCACAGGAGTCATGCCATCGTCAGTTCTTGGCTGGGAAAGCAGAATCCTCCTCCGCAGATCTATGTGGTCACTGGTCCACCGTCCACTCTAGGAGGAAGGAGCAAGGTACGTGTAATTTTACGGTTAGGAAAAGTTGGTAGCGACCAGTTAAAAACAATTGAGGTCTTTGGTGCTTTGCATCTTGTAGAAATACTTAATCATAAAAATTTTTCGGAGTTTCTTGTGTTATGAAGACGATCTCACAGTTGAATAGAATAGGATTCATCTTGCGCGCAAATAGGCAACTTTGCATTTGAATATACGTAAACTTTAATGATTTAAATCCCATCATTCCACTGCCTTCTTTAACTGAATATGGAAATGAATACTACACTTGATGCATAAGAATAACTTTTCAAGTCGTCTACGTATATTAATTTATGGTAATTGAGAAAGGTAATAATGTTGTTAATAGAATTAGAAAGGAGAAGAGGGCCTAGATTAGAACCCTGGAGTACTCCAGAGGTAGTAAGGTAACACATTGATTTAAAACTGTTGTGAGTGGTGTAATACAGGCGACTCGACAAATATGGCGTTAAAAGCTTCAACAAATTGTCATAAAATCCACAAATTTTAAATTTTTAGATTATTTAACTTAATGAAGCAAACGAGATTAAGAGTAGTTGACTTTTTTGTGAATCCCAGTACTATAACTTTTTTAAAAGAATCATAAATGCGATCATATTACAAAGTAAAGTACTGGTCCGATAGTTTTTTATATCTGTACCATTAGTAATTAATCACCCTGTATACCTAGACCCTATGCGTACTGACCGATGCTTACGCGAAGCATCCTACCATTTACCATATAATAACGTAGAAGTGAACGGAGAAAACGGCATCAGTTAGAAAACTACGTACTAACGATAAATTAAACGATATTAACAGTCATGGAACAATTTATTTCATCCAACAATGAGCAGATTCTTCGCCGTAATTACTGCTTGTAATTTCAAATTAAGCACCTTCCACGGATCCTCTATTATGATAATTAAATTTTATTAACTGCAGAATAAAAAATGCGTAATCCTCAGTCGAGCATGCGGCGCATCTCCGCATAGCGATGGGATAGAAAGTAACTTTCTAAAATGCACAAAAGTTGTAAGGATCAACGAGGAATTAATGTGTGATAGTAAACACGGTTCTTGTAAGTTTTACTACTTAGAATAAGAATAACAATGAATAAATTAATTGGTCAATTACAATAGCCTCTTACTAGTACAGATTTCTATTCATTTGAATTTTCCTGATATTGGTACCAGTGCAGGTGCGAACAGTTAAATCAAAAGTGTTTTCTTGTAGAATTAAAAACGCTTGCAAAATAAATGTAAATAAAAGATAATATCTGGTATGTTTACGTTAAAATTTACAACCAGTATCAAAACTATTAATTAAGGTTAGTTGGGTTTGTTTTTTTAAGATGCCTAATCATTCTAAATTGTGTACATAAAAAGAAATCATTAAAGATATCTGCGATATGTTGTTCGCCTTGATTTGTTAGTCACTTTTCGATACCAGATGTTTAGTGTGGATTTTTTTTAAATGTGTGAGATGACGGTATTACAAAAACATTAGTAAAATATGTTTAAACTTCCGCCAAAGTAAGGACAACTATTATAGGTAGGAAAAAAACAGTTTTCACGACATAATTTGAGAAAACATGCTTATGATGTGTTTTTAAAAATCTGAAATATAAATATGGCCCCTATTCACAATTATACAATGTTATAAGTACGTCAACATAACTTATTTTTCTCTTATTTTCAAGATAATAAGTAAATACAGGAGTAAACGTTTCATATATTTTAAGACAGTGTTATTGCTTGCACATTCGCATTAGAATTGCATGAAATCACTACCTGCATAATTAAAAAATAAATTTCTCTTGTGTTTTTCTGGTCTATTTTCCATATATAGCAAACTGATACGCATATAATGCAACATACTTGAAATAGGCTCGTAGAAATTCGGTTCGCAATAAGTTCATGCTTACAACAAAGAGAACGCATTTCGTAATATTGTCACAATATTTTCAAAACAACCCCGTAGCGGTTTGGCGTTTTATCACGTATCGTATAATAATTTCATAAGTACGACTTTCACAGCTTGAAATAGCAAGTTATTAAAGTAATTATTGGTAGACGATTGTAAATTGATATACATGTTCCTTACATAGTTTCTACGATGTCTCTTTTCTTTGTTGGCTGTACGGAATCTAGTTGTAAAAAAATCAACAGGAGGCGCCTTATCGGATTCTTCCAACTGTGATAATATCATTAACACTAAAAAATGTTTTTGATTTGAGCATCCCAAAAACACCAACTTATCGCATTTTGACCGAACATTTGGGCTACCAAAAATGTGTGTACGGTTTGTTTGGCACAAGTTGACTGACAACCAAACATTGCTCAGAATTCAACATTCGAAATACATCATCAAGGAGTCCGAAAAGGACAAAAAATTCTGCCCCCACCATAGTAAATAGACTATTTATACATTGTTTTTAAGGAGGTAAGTGGATTTTACCGTAGAAGTGGAAGTTGTTATGGACAACAGGAGGTAAGTGAGGTAACTTACCTTCCTAGGGAAAAAGCAATTTCGAGTTATAAATGTATATTTTATGAACAAATAAATAGAAATATTTGATAAACATTAATTTTTAAGAATTATTCTGAATGAATATTTATCGTAATTGTACAGTTACTACATTTAGTAACATTTATAAAATCTGGATAATTATTCCCCACGCGTTAACTAATTGTCACATTTTTGACAGCTCCATTTCAGTCATCGGAGGCTCAATATTATCTGACTAATCCATTAAAACAGCATGATGCGACGTACTAAGTACTAGAACTTGGAGTTGAAGAGTCATTGTAAAGAATCCTGTTGGCTATTTAATTTTTGTTACATAAATTGTCAGCAATATAACTTTCTGCAATTGTGGCTAATTTCCACCTACCATGACTCTTGATTTCTAATACAACAACTCCTGTATTACCAAGTAATGTTGCCGATGTTCTTCGGAATGAATGTCCTGTACGTATTTCAGGATGTTCTAGTTTCAAAAACTGTGCAATCTTATTAGCAATCATAGAACTGGTTGATTGTAACATCTACCTGCTTGATAGCGCATAAAAAGCGTGAAAATTTCCAATCTAATCTTGATATATTTCTTGAGAATTTCTAGGTGAGAAACAGAACTCAGACGAGAAGTAATTGTAAACGTACGTGAATATCATTTTTAGATTCTGGAATTGTAAGTACAATAATGTCATCGAATTTTTTAAATTGATGTTTTCCAAAGTAAGTTTTCAAACTCATCAGAACGGCATGCTCCTGCAATGCCTAAGACCGTCACTACCCTCATTAACAAATATGTGTTATCGGGTGCCTGAACGAGAATATCGTTAACTTGTTCTCTTGTAAAAACGTTTAACTTTTTAGGTCTTACGTTTCAAAAATGCTCTCAGCTTGGGGTATTTTAATATGTCCACGTTCTCCTATGAAAATAGTTGATTTAATCATTGAGTATTTACTCCACACACTCGCCGGTAACTTTAAAGTTATTGACTTCTCCATCTCCAATATGCTAGCAATGACATTTCAGAAACACCAGTATTTTTGTTCTGACACCATTCTTTGATATTTCGAATAATTCAAAGGGAATTGATTAAGAAATGTCAAAAAATAAAACCCAACTTTATATCATGAACCATAAAGAACTATGGGAGCAGATAAAATGTTATACACCACGCAGCAGTTAAGTATAATTTACCAGTATTGGACTCTATTGCGAGTCCTCGCTCCGCTCGGGCACAAAATCGTCCTCGACTGATAAATAACACCTCCTTTATGGTTAAATAACTATTCCAACATTGTGACTGATGATGAAACGTTGTGTTTTCAAGATGATACAGAAACCAAGCGCCAAGATGTCTAGTGGAAGATGCCAGATGAGCCAAAACACAAAATATCTCGTTTGGAGAAGTCAAAAGTGAAGGGCACTATTTTAAATAAAATAAATCGGATTTGTAAAAAAAAAATGTTGGTCCTATTTTTTAAAAAGTCCGAACAGATAAATGCAAATATGTTCTCTCAAATCGACGCGGCTGCCAATATTCATCATAGGATGTGTGAACCCGAATATGGACCAACTTTCGGTTATTGACTTTAACTTTTACTTAGCCCCGGGGTGCCGAAATTGTGGAGAGAACGCTGGAACTGTGTCATACGTTAATTCCTCGGTAATGACCACGAATGGGCGTCGCACACCCGACCGAACGCACACCCAATACAAGATTAAGAATTCACATTCGCCGACACGTGAGTCGCGTGTCGAACGCATAACTGCAATGTGTCGCGAATTTGCACAGAATATATTAATTTTTTTCTTCGACTAAAAAAAAGAATCACGTTGGGATGTGACGCAAGCAATCTGTTGGTATTTAAAGACGGATTTTTTTCCTATATTTGAAGGAAATTTCAGGAAATCTCAAAATTTGCATCCGAAATGTTTGTTTTTAGTCATAATCATACAGGATGTTAATAAATTACCCCACCAAACTTTAATGGTGGGTTTTGCGACAAACAATCAATTAAAAAAGTTCCCATGAACATGTGTATTGAAATTTTAAACGATATCATATTTTTTTAAATATAATGTTAACATCCAAAGATCCATACATTCAAAGGTCCATCTATTCCTGTTTTAAAAAAGCCATCCATCTGAAGACGCATACACTCATCCACTAAATCAACCATATTAGACCGATCAAAATAACTCATTTAGAGGTAAAAAAAAAAGAAAATTTTTTACCTGGACATTCATAAGAGGAAATGGTAAAGGGGCTTATAATAAACGAAAAAAAATAAATGCGTGAGTAGAGGCGGCGGAGGGTTGATTTGGGGGGTTCAAAACTTATGAAAAATTGTTTCATTAGGATTTCTGGCGAAAGTTGACGTAAAATAAAAAAGTATCTAATACAAAAGTTATAGATCATGCAAAAATCTACAACTTTTGTAGAAGTCATTTTTTAACACAACCTGAAAATTTCCGAGAAAAA